TGGGAGATGCGGGAAGAGACTGGACAAAAATCGTGCACCTATGGATGAGGACAGTGGGTGGGGAGTGAGGGCGGAGGGTGGGGCGGGAACTGGAAGGAGGGCAGTTATGGGGGGAAAAAAGAGGAACAAATGTAATAATCTGAACAATAAAGATTTAATTAAAAAAATAAAATAAAATAAAATAACAAAGAAAAAAAAAGAAGCTACTATGTTCCTCCTTGTGCTAAAAACTGAGGATATAAAAATTAGACACACCGCCTTTTTATTTGCCCTTAAGAAATATATAGTCTAGTTAAAAAGAGACATATAAATAAGTGTAATAAAATATAGGTTCTAGAATAACCTATGTACGGGAAAGGCTTACGAAGGTAAAGTTCACCCGGCCAGCGTAGCTCAGTGGTTGAGCATCGATCCATAAACCAGGAGGTCACGGTTCAATTCCTGCTCAGGGCACATGCCTGGGTTGCAGGCTCGATCCCCAATCCCGGGCATGCAGGATGCAGCCAATCACTGATTCTCTCTCCTCATTGATGTTTCTGTCTCTCTCTCTCTCCCTCTCCCTTCCTCTCTGAAATCAATTTAAAAATATATATTAAAAAGAAGAAGGTAAGATTCACTGGCAGAGGACAGTAATCAGGAGAGGCTTCAAAAAAATAACAAAGCTGAGTCTTAAATGAAAAGTTGCTACTTACCAAGAGCAAAGAGGAAAGATCATAATGGTAAGAAGGAAAATATAATGAAGATTAAAAAGTACCAAATAACAAATCATGGTAGGATGACTACAAGCTATTTAGTCTAAGACCGACATGTAAGGAGTATATATGATATTAAGTGGTAAGGGAGGGCTGCCAGAGGTAAGCCTAAAGCAGTATGCTATGGCTCAGTAACAAAAGACCTTGTACATACACTAAAGAGAACACAATCTATCTTTTATAAACAATAGAAACCAACAAAGGATTTTAAGTATAAAAATCATAGGATCATAGATTTCCATGATGTCTAAACAACTTATGCATTTGGCTTTCCTCAACAATGATCAAACCAACATTTCACATTTAATTATGCATCTGTTAGAGAACTATCACCATTTTAGCCTACCTGTTTTATATCATATGCAAATGATTTTCCAGAACAAGGGTCTCAGCCTCTAGCAAACTTGTGAGTAAAATAATAATTCTACTCCCTGAAAAGTGGGGTAGATACTAAAGATACACCAATTTCCAAGGGATTCATCAAGATTCTACTTAAAGAATTCATACATGTGATATATGCACTTGCATATACACACAACATTAAATATTCATAATCTATTGACAGATTGTCAAAAGTTATGCCCACGTGAAGTCACAAAAGCAAATGTTTTGGCCAGTCACATTTTGGTGTGCCTTAAGAAGCAGTATAAAATCACTGTGAACTAGCCAGACTGTTTCATAAGTGAAGCAGTTCAGTCCTGAGTTACATACATAAAAACTTCATGCAGCTTAACACAGAACTTCTAAATAGACCACAGAAGCTCTGAGGTCTGGAATCCTGGGTCAGCCACTTGTGCAAATTATTACATTCTTGAGTCTTAGTTTTCTTGTCTATAAACCTGGGGCAATTATTCTTACCTCATATAACTATTGTGAAGATATAATGAGATATAGAAAGCACTTAAGCATAGAACTAAGCAAATATTCATTATTCAATAAATAGTATTTTATTATAACTACACTAGAAATTATTCTAGCTATGACAAACTCAAGTTTATACACTAACTAATTTTGTTAGACTTGCATTATTAAAGAAATTTCCAAAATCTAGTCCAAATGAAAATGTTTGAGGTAGGCCAAATGTGAAAATAATAATCATCATACTGAGGCAAATCATATAAAATAATGTATTTAAGAAAAAAAATTTTTTTTAAATGCATCAAGTTACACTGACTAATTACTTATAAAGCATGGGAAGAAAGAGTCCAGTCTTTTTTTTCCAAATATTGAATTTTTAACATCCAGAGGGGAAAAGTATCTCGTTTTATGCTAGAAAGTTGTATGAATATATATGCATATATCCATAAGAGGTCAAAAATAAAACCACAGTTCAAATCATCTAGTGGGGAATTTGGAAAAATTGAAAGAGTCCAATCTTAATATAGAGATACTCAGAGCCTTTGTGAGGAAAAGAAAATTGTACAATAAAACTTTTTCTCAAATTATAGTGCCATGTTATTACCTCTTTTAATTTTATGGCCTCTTACAAAAAAACATACAGTACAGATAGTAAGGCTGGTTATAATCATGTAATGTCATGTACCTGTAGTATAAGGAACCCCTTCTTACAGTTAGGCCTTTCATCTGCCTTCAGTGAGCATCAGTCCTACCAGTCTGTGACTTTGGGATTTGTTTATACCCTGAAAGAAAGAAAATAAAAATGTGATAACAGCAACAACCAAAAAAAAGCAGAATACTAGCAAAGCAAGACTATAAAAGAAAATTTACTTTGACAGCCTGACAAATAAATGACTCAATTGAAAACAACTAGAAAAAATGAGGATCAAAGCAACATTAGTAACTGTATCAAGTTATTTCTGTATACTCCCATATGTTTACATATATACTTGAATATGTACATAATTCATGGTCAGATAAGATTGGGTCAAATCACAAAAGTACTTAGTAGAGTAAAATGAAGTTATGATTATTAAATATGTATTAAATAATATTGACCTGAACTACAGATTGCTAAGCAAATACATTACTAACTCTTATAAAATTAAACATATGTAGTCATCCACTATATCTCTGAATAGCAAGCATTAATGATGGCTACCAGTTGAAAGACCAAAATGGAAGAGAATTTTCAGATTGATAGTGAAATTTCCTGAAATCAGTAATATGTTTTAAAGTAAGTATAGAACAGGTCATTCTGTTCAGCCAATATTCATCCAAACAAAAGTCATGAATTATAAGTTAGTTAACATGTGTTATATGGAAATAAGAATGAAGGTGAGAGAGAAGTTAATCAAACTACTTTTAGGTATATTCATAAACACCAAATTATTATTTCCATTCTTTTTCATTGTTAGGTTATTCCTGTGTGATCCTTATACTCAAGTAATAAAGCATTATGGTTTAATATCTCATAAAACAAAATTTAAACCAACCTATCACTTGATAAAACTGAAAACATAAAATAATACTAGCATGATCTTTCCTGTATGAAAATGACACTGACTCACCATCCGTAGAGATGAGTTTCAAGTTGTTTTTCCACAATGGAAATGGACTTGCTGATCGAGCCAGTTTCCTTGCCAAAGTTCCCTGGTGAACGAAAGCTTTTATCTGCAGGATGAGTGTTACCAGTAGTTACAGAAAACAACTAAATTAAATAATCAACATAGAAATTAAACTTGTGCCTTGATCCCAAGCCACTATGTTCTGATGACCTACAAATAAAGCCACAGAAATATATAAACACTGTATAATACTTACATACAAAGTTGTACATGCATTTCCTTAGACACATTCACTGTATTCTATATTTACTGAACTAAAAATACAATCAGAGCCTGACCTCTTCCCTAAATAAAAATCTTCTGAGCTGTCTTAGATAAAAGAGATTGCTTCTGACATGTAAAATCAGAAGTATAGAATGAAAATGCTCAGAACATGAAAGCATGTCAATTTTACATTCCTCATCACAAGTAGCAATAACTGAGGAAATTACAGAATATTTTTGTTAATGTTAGCAATATTCTCAATAGCATTAAGTGTAATATGACTACAGGCAAAACTACTTTGACATTTCCAGAATTCTGAAAAATATGTCAACTTTTTATGAAGAAAAATATTTTTGTTACTAGCTACAGTGTTCATTCATACTAATACATGCAAAGGTTTTGTAATTAAATATTTCTGATATGAAATTTTATCAGTTGCTTGCTCAATCTCCATATGAGTTGAAGAGCTGGTTAAACATTACGCAAAGACGTAGTTCAGAGGTCCTCAAACTTTTTAAACAGGGGGCCAGTTCACTGTCCCTCAGACATTCCACACATGCGCACTGCAGGCCCGGGACAAGTCGGCTGCTAAGCAGGACAGGCAGCCGAGGCAAAAACACCCGGCGGGCCGGATAAATGTTTTCGGCGGGCCGCATGTGGCCTGCAGGCCGTAATTTGAGGACGCCTGATGTAGTTTTTAAGTATAAGTAAAAATAATGTGCCCTGACCGGTTTGGCTCAGTGGATAGAGCGATTTGAGGACGCCTGACGTAGTTTTTAAGTATAAGTAAAAATAATGTTATGTGTTTCTTTATTATCTAAGAAAATAAAAGATTAGATTAACATCTGTTAAAAATCAATGAGAAAGAGTTAACAACTAGGCATAATTCAAACAAACTCACAATGCTAAGTATCTATGAGCAAGGCACTCACTATATCGGGGTTCTGTGAACAGGTGGTACACAATCTCAAAGAAATCACAATATTAATATTATTGAAACATTCCATTTTCAGTTCTACATACTTGTTTGCAATAACAAACAGCTAAATTCTAACCCAGATCCTCCGCCAAAACAAAGGATGAGGTGGAAAAGCATGGCATCATACCAGCTCATTGTAGCTGCCACAGGGATGAGGCCCTGGGGCTCCTCTTGCAAGTGAAGATAAGGAAATTTCAATAGAGATGTTGAGAACATCTGCTAAACCTGTGATGTAGGTCTACTGTCACCTGTAGACAAATAAACTTTGTTAATTTTAAGACACTAAAAATATTCCCAATCACAATTCCATTTTAATGAATCATTCTCTTTAACAACTCTGTATTACATTCATTACCATCATCCCACACCAACTTACCGAAATTGAGTCGTCCACTAAACTGCAAACCCGAAAGTTCCTCTTCATTTTAGTTTCCCATTTCCACAATGCCCAGCTGAGCACCTTACAAATTGTAAATGTTTAATAAATGTTTGATAAATTGAAGTTAACTAGTCATCTTACTCCCTCACCTGTTACCCCCCACCCCCAATAATCACTTATTCTAGCTATAGCCACCATTCCCGATGAAAAGACAGGATATTATTCATTCTGTAAACATTTTTGCTTGAACACCTACTGGGTACCATGTTAACTACAATGGATACTAGTGTAAGTAACATCTGATTCCTGTCCTTAAATAACTCAATCTAGTGAGAAAGATAAAGATGGAAATTAGCCATTGTAACATCCTGTAATCAGTTTATAACAAGTTTTGTAGAAAGTGCTACAGATACTAAAAGGAAGTGAAAACTGGCTTAGAATAAAAGCTTTAGAAAGGAAATGACATGTGAGATGAGTACTAAAGAATGAGTAGCTCCTGGACGGAGGGAGAAATACAGAAAGGGCACTCTCAGTGGAGAGAAGAGATGAAAAATTATAGAGCTGCAAAAGGGCACATGATATTCTGAGAACTTCAAGAAACTTTTGGGAAAGTAGCAGATGAGAAGAAAAAGGCATGAGAAATATTACAGAAATGCCTTATTATGCTAAAAAGCTGGACCTCTGTCCTGACTGAAGGAGGTAAGCCAGGAGAATGACGTGATCATTGAAAAGATGTTGAAAGCAATGGGGAAGATGGGAGGAAGGACAAGACTGAAGGCAAAGGACCAAATCAGACAAGACAAAGCAGGTATGACCTAATGGCTTATGTAATTACGGTGACCCAATTCATCACTAATGACCATTAGGTCTGTTACCCAATATATCTCAAATTTAGATTTATATTTAGAGAATACAGACTCTAATGTATTTTCGAAAACTGTTTATGTGATACGATCTCAATGAAAAATCATGGCAAGAATTACAAAGAAATTACATCAAGATGCCAAAATGTTAATAATGACTAGCTCTGGGTAGTGGGGCTACAGGTCATGTTTTTCTTCTTGTTACTGATATATTTCAAATTTTCTACATGATAATATTTAAAATATATCCTAGGGCAATTGCTTGAAACTTAGCTAAAACTGGCATTAACCCTAAAGGGCCAGAGCCAGGATTCCTTGACAACATAATTGGCCCTGAAACCTCCCTTTAGCACCAAGCCCATCTATATATAAAAAAGCCCAGTGACTGAACGGCAGAACTACCAGAATGACCAGTCGACCAGTCGCTATGACGCACACTGACCACCAGGGGGCAGACGCTCAATGCAGGACCTGCCCCCTGATGGTCAGTGCACTCCCACAGTGGGAGCAGCCACTCAGAGGGCGGGTCCACAGCCACTCAGCTGACCAGGATGAGCAGCACTCCCATAGCGTGCCAATCCCTGCAGGCCACGCTCCCCACCAGTGCACGAATCCCATGCACCAGGCCTTTAGTTATACATAAAATGCTCATTCCTACATTAGGACCTAAACTCATGTCATTTTTGTTTCTTCTGCAACATCTGCTTGCCCTGAATGCCTACCTATATCCCAATTTGATCATACCACCAGCTATACCCATCTTGTACATACAATACCAATAGCTCATTATATGCCCCATACATCATGATATCCAATCATCTTTTAGTGAAAGCCTTTTTGAACAGTTCTCCAATTTGTTCTTCCAACAAGATTTTACAAGAATACTAGTGCAAAATCAGTCCTATTCTAGAACAAATATTCACACATGAGTCAGCTATAAATATACTAGTGGTCCGGTGCATGAATTCATGCACATTAAAAGGAAATTAATTAGAAGAAATATTTTAATATTGCTATTCGCCCTTTCTCTATAATAGAAGTGTCAACCAAATTCATGATCGACAGTAACAGATGGAAACACACACGTGCGATTGGCGCAAACAAGAGCTTTATATGTATTGCGCATGCGTGAGTCAACTTAGCCTTTTATAGATATAGAATAAACTTGCTTAATTAGACCTGCTTTCTGACTTAGCTAAACTTTTTCCAGCCCAGTGAAGCACCCCAACTTCTCTTTCAGGTAATTGTCAGCAACACAGCAGTAAATATCAACACAAAGCAGATTATTATTGTAGATCACGCAGGGAGAACAAAGAGTAAAATATTTAACTGCAGCAGTGTTTGACTATATTCTGCACAGTGAGAAAACCTGAAGTCATTTTCAAGGTCCACCATTTCTTACTTCTTTTCAGTCGGGTCAAGTTTCTAAACTTTCTAAATCTCCATTTTCCAGCTAATGAAAAGAAAATAGGATTCTACCAAGTCTCCTATCTACCTACTCCAGGACTTCTGTGAGGATCAAATGAGGTGAGGCATGGGCAAACGCTTCACAAACATTTGGTTAAAGTGTGAAATGTTTGCATCTGGCTATAAAGCAAGTTGTGTTCCTGGGCTGAAGAAACTGCAAGGAGGCTAGTCGCAAGCCGGGCGTTGCTACGTGACATCATTACCCAGAGCCCACAGCAACTGTTTCTGGGCTGGCCATGGGATCTCCGCAGCATCAGCTGCGATTTGGTGGGGTGTCGCTCGCTCTGGGGTAGCGGCAGGGCCTGTGTCCCACTTGGGGGAAGCCGAGCGTTGCTTTGTCGGCCAGGTCCACGCTGCTGTTTCTTGTAAATGGCAAGTGTGCGTCATGGCAGCTCCTGTGTTGAGCGTCTGCCCCATGGTGGTCAGTATGCATCATAGCAACCAGTCAGACAGTGGGAAGGACACTTCGCATATTAGTCTTTTATATACATAGATGCGCATATAATTATACTGCTGATTTGATAAACTGCAAATTATGTAAATAACCACTACTAAAGTGTTTCCAAATCTATTGTCTTAGAAAAAAATTGCCTACTGCTATGGGTTGAATTGTGTCCCCCCAAAAAGATGTTGAAATCCTAACTCTCAGTACCTGTAAATGAGACCTTGTTTAAAAATAGGATCTTTGCAAATGATCGAGATAAGATAAGGTCATTAGGATGGGCTCTAATCCAATATGACCAGTATCCTTATGAATAGGGAACATTTGAACAGAGAGGACACCATATGAAAAGGCAGGCAGGGATTAGGGTGATTTACATCTACAAGCCAAGGAACACCAAAGATTGCCAGCAAATCACCACAAGCTAGGAGAGAGGCATGAAATGGATCCTCTCCCTCACAGCCCTCAGAAGGAACCAACCCTGCCAACACCATGATTTTGTACTTTTAGTCTCCAGAACTGGGAGACAATAAATGTCTGTTGCTCAAGCTACCCCATATTTGTTACTTTGTTACAGCAGTTCTAGCAAAATAATATACCTACTAAGGGAAACCATGATTTTTTTCCCTGAAAGCCACTAAAGACAAAACCATTTTGAAGAAAGATTGCAAAAAATTCCTTGCTATTAAGTTTTCAATCTGGTAGCAAAAGTGCTATTTAATAGCGAAGCCAACCTACTGCCAAAAAAAAAAAAAAAAAACCACCTCTCAGATATGAGTCATCCTTCATCCTCTAGTACCTTTTATACATACAGCATCACATAAACTCTGGAGAATATCATTACCCTATAAATACCGGAACATGAAAATAACATGAAATTACATAGATGTCCCTTTGTTTTGTAAGAGTGTTATTCTATGGAATTGTATGTACCTGTGAGAATCTAATTGACCTATAATAAAATCAGAAGGTAGCATAATGAGTTACTTGATAAGGCGCACTCAAATCAACATGGATCAGGAATGGGCTGTGGAGTGAAATACTTTTTGAACTCCTGCTCTGTTACTCATCAGCCATGTGATCTAAGCAAAAAACTTAACCATGTTTGGGCTTCAAATTCTTCATCAGTATAATGGGAAATTTATATTTTACATGAATAGATCAAATAATATATGCGATGTGCTTAATATATAATGATGATAATGGGGTTTTAATAGTTTTATAAAAAGTAATAATCACCCAAAAAAGAAAGAAAAAATAAAATTCATAAATTAAGGGTTTACTTTTTTCCTTTATTTGGAATTCATTGGGGTGACACTGGTTAACAAAATTATATACTTTGCTAGAGTAGGACAATAATTAGGCAAGCTTATATGAAAATAAAAGTATTGCCTTTGGCTACTTCCTTACTATAAAATGTAGGACCTTCAAAATCTTTCAACCATTTGCTAAAACTCAAAACACATTTAAACTTATTAATATTGGAACTGAAATACAAATAGGATATTGGTGACTTTGGGCTCTATCATAGACATCAGTTGGAATGTGGCTTTCAAAGCTCTTATAATAACACTCCTTTATTTCCTCAGATCACTAAGCTCTAGCCAGTCCAAAAAAACTACAACTTAGACTGATATCAGGTTAATTGTAATAGTATGACATAATCCACTGTAACCTTCTACCAGGTATTACTGCTGTAGTTTTTGCCTCTTTTTAAATATAAAACTTGTTAAATTAAAATATACATCTCAAAAATGTAACTAGTTGAAAAGGGACTTATTTTGGAATTTATATACTCATTTTGAGAAATGTGTAAATAATGCAAAGCCCAGTTGATCACCAAAATTCAAAAGGACCTTGTTATATCTTATAAACATTCTACACAAAATACAAATTATATTTCCACTGCTAATCATAATAGTACTTATAAACTAAAATTTATATCTACACCTACACATTAAATAGAAGAAACTAAATAATTAAGTCCAAAAAGACTGCAAATATTATAAAGAGAATGGTAGTATTTTTGTTAACCTTTTTATATAAAGGTTATCTATCTACATTGGTCAAATTTGTTGGAAAATATATCAATAATCC